TTATTATTTTTTTTTGAATTAGTAAATTTTACTAATAAATTAGTAGAAATTACTATTTATAAGTCAAATTTATTAATTCAAAAGCAAAAAGTCATCAGTTTGTTTCAGTGAAATAAACTTTTTTCCTGTATGTACCTATGGGCAATTCCACGTGAGATTTCAGTCGACCTCTTAAAATTGGCCAAAAATATTTTTTTTCTATTCTGTATTGGAAAAAAACAGATACGTATTTTTTTATTATTTTTTTGGAGGCCAAATTTTTGAGTTATGAATTTTCAAAATTTTCGCTTTTTAAATGTAGGTATATTTTTAATGTCAGATAACTAAAAAAATATTGCTTCTTTTCATTTTTTGACAAGAGAAAAAAAAGTTTTGTTTTTCTCTCTACTTTTGAATAATTTTAACAAAAAATTTTTTTTTCATTTTTTATTAAAAAAATAAAAAAATTTTATAAACAAATTAATTTTTTTTAACTTTGGGTATGATAAATTTTTAATTTTCTTTTTTTAAAACATACCTGGAAATGATAAGAAGGTTTTGCAAAAAGTTTCAGAGTGGGCCTGACAAGTTTAATGGGTCCAAAAAAATAATTAAGCTCTCCGTGCAGGTCGCACGCACGTGGCACAATGGGATTTTTTTACAATTTATTATTAAAAATTGTTTAGAGCCTTAAAATTCAATAATAATCAAAATCTGATAAAATTTGTAGGCTCTAGACAATTTTTAATAATAAATTGTAAAAAAATCCCATTGTGCCACGTGCGTGCGACCTGCACGGACAGATTAATTATTTTTTTGGACCCATCAAACTTGTCAGGCCCACTATGAAACTTTTTGCAAAACCTTCTTATCATTTCCAGGTATGTTTTAAAAAAAGAAAATTAAAAATTTATCATACCCAAAGTTAAAAAAAATTAATTTGTTTATAAAATTTTTTTATTTTTTTAATAAAAAATGAAAAAAAAATTTTTTGTTAAAATTATTCAAAAGTAGAGAGAAAAACAAAACTTTTTTTCTCTTGTCAAAAAATGAAAAGAAGCAATATTTTTTTAGTTATCTGACATTAAAAATATACCTACATTTAAAAAGCGAAAATTTTGAAAATTCATAACTCAAAAATTTGGCCTCCAAAAAAATAATAAAAAAATACGTATCTGTTTTTTTTCAATACAGAATAGAAAAAAAATATTTTTGGCCGATTTTAAGAGGTCGACTGAAATCTCACGTGGAATTGCCCCTATATATTATTTCAATCCACGTATTATTTATTTATTCACTGTATATACCTATATTATTATTTATTTGCAAAAACTATATTCAAAACCTTCCATTTATTTAAAAATTTTTTTTTGCTTCGAAAAAAAACTTTGTTTTATTAAATATTAAAAATAGAAATGGAACTTTTTCCTCTTTTTAAAGTTAATAGAAAGCGAAATGAGTTTATTCAGAGTGTATAAACAAATATGGCAAAAAATGACAATTTTCCTATGTAATACAATTGAAAAATTGTAAACTAGATCCTCGATTGTTTATTCATTCTCAAAAATAGATTTCTATTCTCCCTCTGACCCATTTTTTCCGATTCAACAAACAAAAAAAAACAATTGTTAATAAAAATCCTTTGTTTTGTATTGATTTAAAAAAGAATTTTTGAAAACTGATATTTTTATCTTGAAATACTGTAATAGGAGTAAAAGTTTTTGAATTTGAAAAATATTTCCTTTGTTGGAAAAACAGTCAACAGAATTAGTAACAAAAACACATTAAATTTGATTTTCGAAAATAAAGAAAATTGTTTTTTTTAATTATTTTTTTGATAGATTGATATGATATGAAAAAATAGAAAAAAACTATAAAAATATGTTAAAAATAAAAATGGATGTAAAAAGGAAATATTAGAATAAATAAAAATAATATTTTCCTATAGAAAATTCAAATTTTAAATGATTTTCAAAAAAATTTCTCGAAATAATTCAATTGTTTTTAAAATTTTTGATACTTTTTTTGCAGAATACCAATTATTTTTTTAATAAAATTTCTGGAAGGAATTAAATTTATTCTCAATAAAATATGAGAATTCAATTAATCATAAAAATTTTGAATAATTTCATTGTAGAATTTCTATTATCTTGACCTTTAAAAATTTTGAAGTTTGAATGAATTTAATTAGAAATTTTATTGAAAATAATTCTTAAAATTTTTCATAAATTTCTTAGCAGAATTTCAATTATTTCCAATAAAGTTTCTGAAAAGAATTCAATTATTTTAAAATTCTTTGCAAGAATTAAATTATTATTTGCAGGAATTCAAATATTTCGAATTTTTCACATGGATTCAATTATTTTCAACAAAATTTCTCAAAAGAATTCAATTATAAAAATATTTGATAAATTTTTTTGAGGAATTTCAAATATTTTGAACTGTTTGATAAATTTGCTTGTAGAATTAAAATTATTTTAAAATATTTTGCAAGAATTCAATTATTTTTAAAATAAAAGTAAAAATAAATAAAATAAAAATTCTTTTGAAATTATAGTTAAATTTTTTTTAATATAGATATTTAATGAATTATTAAAAATTATGGATTTACAGCTAAGAATTTTATATAATTAAAAAGTCTATAAGAATTAAATTTTAGAGAATTAGAGAATTCTATTAAAATTTTTAACAATAATTGAATGTCTGTGTGGTATTGTATTAAATTTTCTTTGAAAATAATTGAATTCCTAAATAGCATTTTATTATTTATGAAAATAATTGAATTCTTGCGAACGATTTTATTAGAACTTTTTAAAATAATTGAATTTCCTATAAGAAATGTATTGCTTTTAAAAATACTTTAATTCTTATGATAAATATTCTTATTTATAAAAATAATTGAATTTTGCAAAGAATTTTATTAAAATGCCTCAAAAAATAATTGAGTTTTTGGGAATAATTTTGTTATTTATCGACGTAATTGAATTCTTTCGAAGAATTGTTTAGGTAAATAGTTGAATTCTTGGAAAGAATTTTATTAAAATCTAAAAGAATAATTGAATTATTTAAAAAAAATTAAATTTATAATTATATATTTAAAATAATTGATTTCTTTCGAACAATTTTATTGAAATATTTGAAAATAATTGAATTCCTGTGAAAATTGTAATATTTTCGTAAATAATTAAATACTTCCAAAGAATTTTAAAGAAACATTTTTTTAAATACACACTTAAAAAAAAAGTTTTACTTTCAGCCTCTTTTTGAGGCTGAATTTAAGGTGTAAACGGAGTCAGCCCCGTTAAACAAGGACAGACTTATGTGAAACACATGGGCTGAATTTAAGGTGTAAACGGAGTCAGACTTTTTTTTTTCCTGTGTACTTAATTGATATTTTCGAGGAATTGAAATTAAATTTTTAAGAATAATTACATTTTTTTGAGTAATTCCTGTAAAATTGTATTATAAAAATAATTGAAATCATGCAAAGAATTTTATTATTTATGAAAATAATTGAATAGTTGCAACAAATTTTATTAAAATTTTCAAAAATAATTGGATTTCCGAGAAGAATTTTATTATTTATGAAAATAATTGATTCCTTCGAACAATTTTATTAAAATATTTCAAAGTAATTGAATTCCTGTGAAAAATTCTAATTTTTTTTTTAAAATAATTGAATTCCTGTGAAAAATTCTAATATTTTTGAAAATAATTGAATTCCTGTGAAAAATTCTAATATTTTTGAAAATAATTGAATACTTGAGAAGAATTTTATTATTTATGAAAATAATTGAATTATTGCGAAAAATTTTATTAAAATGTTTTAAAAAAATTGAATTTCTGTGAAAAATTTTGTTATTTTTGAAAATAATTTAATTCTTTAAAATTTATAAATAAAATTTTATAAATATTGTTTTAAATAATTAATTTTTTTGAAATATAATAAATTTTAAATGAATATTTTTTATTTTAAAAAAATTGAATTCTTGTGGAAAATTTTACTTGGGAAAATAATTGAATTTTTAAAATGTTTATTATTAGTTAAAGTAATTGAATTATTGTGAAGAGTAATTGTATTAAAAAAATATTGTTAAATAATTGATTTTTTCGAAATTTTTTTGAAAATGCTATTCTAAATTAATTGAATTCCTGTGGAAATTTTATTATTTATGAAAATAATTGAATTTCGAATGGATTTTATCAATTTTTTTTTTAATAATTGAATTTTTTTTGCGAAATTTGATGAAAATTACTAGATATTGAAATAAGAATTTGGAATATTTTTTGAAAATAATTGAATCGTTGTAAAGAATTTGATTCTAATTTTTGAGAATAGTTTTTGATTTCTTGTATTAGTGAATTTAAATTTAAAGTAGTGGAAATTCTCAAAATAATAGAATTTTTTTTCAAAAAGCAATTTTTTCTTGACATTTTAAAAATTACTTTTCATCCTTTCAATTATTATAAAATCAATCGCGTTCTAAAGTGAATTCTAAACTTATATTAAGTAAATGCAAAAATTATTCTGCAAAGATTACATATTTTCAAAAAGCAATCTTTTCGTCCTCTGTGATATTTTATTAAAAATATATCGATTTTTTTTCTCCCAACAATTATTAATAAAAAAATCGTCTAGAGTGAAATCTGAACTTGTATATATAATGCTTATATGCAAAACTCACACACACACACAATGAATGTGCGTCTATATTTGTCACATTCGTCCTAATAAGACATTTCCATCCCTTCACATCCCCCACTCTAAAATGAAAAGCCTTTCCCGTTGTTTCCCTCTCGCCACCCACACATTTATATGTATACATATATATATATACATAAACTACCCCGCGCAGAATCGTCTTTCTCCCAATCCACGCCTCCTACCCCAAAACCGCGGAACTAACATTGCGTGGGTGGTGGGGGGTTGGGGTGGCATCCCCGTGCAAGCAACATGACGTCATGAATCAATATTACATCCTATCCCTCCAACAATTTTCATTTGCGGGACTACGAAGGAAACTACCGGTTCAGTGCGGGGTGTCCGCCGCGACGTTTGGGACGTCGAAACTACGACGCTCCGACGACCGGCGACGTCGACGAAATAAAGTTGCGCTCAATTTTTATCGGATCACTTCTGTTTTATTTTTTCTCACACGAACGATCATATATATATATATATATAAACACAAACATATATATATGTATACATATCAAAGATAATAATAATATTATTATATTAAATAAATATGATCTCCCTGCTCGCAATCAAATCGGAATAGTCTTCCCTTAATGAAAAATAATTATTCTCGGACGAATTTATTCATATCGTCAAAAAAGAAAAGGAAAAGAAAATTTTTATGGTGATGCGAATAGTTGTGCCTCGTTATAATGAATATAAAAAAAAAATTGATTATCGTTAATAACAATTAGTACAAATTATATTTATATTTGTATATATATATATATATACAGAAAGAGAAAATTTAATGATAAAATTGTGACAAGCGCACTGTTTCTTTTTTTCGTCTGATGTAACAAGCAACGAATGTTCCAACAACGAGAGGCGATCACCCCGCGCGATTGTGAGTAGTTTTTAATACTCAAGAAAAATAAAATTAAAAAAAAATTGTTTAAACTCGTAAATATAATTTATAATTTGATAATTTTCGTTAAATTTAAAATTCTTTGGTAAGAAAGAATACGCGATTTAATTATGTCCTTGATTATTAAAATAAAATTGCTATACACATTTTTAATTTTTCGTAAAATAATACGAGAAAATAAAAACATAATATTTGTATCAATTTTAATTTTATAAATTTAATTTTTTATATTTTATTATTTAATTTTTACTCTCTAAATTTGAATTAGTAAAAAATTTTTCCGAATTTTAATTAATAACTGACTTTTTGCTTCTAAATTAGCAAATAATTACTATTTAGTAGTTAAATTTATTGATAATTAAATTAAATAATTAAAAAATAATTATTCAATGCGGAAAAAGTCAGTCACTAATTCAAATTAGTCACCATTTTTATAATAAATTAGTAGAATTTATTAATAAAGTGAAAAATTTAAATTTAAATTAAATTTAAGTTATATTTAATTATAGTTATTAATAATTAAATTAAATAATTAAAAAATAAGTATTCGTTGCGGAAAAAGTCAGTCTTCAAATAAGTCAACGATAAATTACTATTTATTAGTAAAATTTACTAATTCAAAAGCAAAAAGTCAGTCATTAATTAAAGCAAACATTTTTACTGATTTAAATTTAGAGAGTAATTTTCATTTCTATATGATTTTTATAGTTTAACTTTTTCTACATTGCTTAATTTATGATCAGCGAGGTTAATTACTTTTGTATCATGAAATTAGTCAAAATTATTTAATTCGATTTTTAATTTATAATTAAATTTTCTTATTTTAATTCTATTTCGGTTCATCGTAAAATGTTTTTTGTATTCAAATTAAAATTTGTGTCGAAACAAAAATGGAGGCGAACGATTTTCCAATATTCCTCTTACCTTTGCATTAAGGAAAATTTTCAATTTTAACAAATAATATTAAAATATTAACAAATTCACTGATTCATTAACAATTAAAGAACAATTAAAAAACAATGAAAGAATTATACATTAAAAACAAATTTTTTAATAACTTAATATAGTTTAATAATAATCATTTTAATAATAATTATTTATTTTCTTGTTTCAATTAAATATAAATTTATTTTAAATTAAATATATTATTTAAATCGTTTTTTTATTTTTTAAATAATATAACAGTTCTTTATAATCGCGACTTCATTACTAATAATAATTGTAAATAATAAAATTTTTAAAAATCATTTGTACTTGTTTTTAATAAACTTATCTTTAAATTTATTTTATTAAAAATTTTTTCTAACAATTACTTAAAATTTTTTTCTTAATTTTCCTTCTGTTAAAAATAAAGGCATTTTGTATAGTTCTTCTTTTAATTAATTAATAATTACTAAATCAGCGTAACATTATTTACTTCCTGCTAGTTTAGAAGTTCTAATTTTTTAATTATTCAAGAAAAATTCGTTCATGTAACAACAAAATTTCAAGTATATAGCAAGTGCATAGTCAGTGATTTAAACGTTTAACATAGCATTAATCGATACCGTGAATATTTTTCCAAAGATGGGAGGGGCTTTTGTGAAGATTAATATTTTATTATTATTATATTATTATAATTATAATTATAATTATAATTACAATTACAATTATAATTACAATTACAATTACAATTACAATTACAATTACAATTACAATTACAATTACAATTACAATTACAATTACAATTACAATTACAATTACAATTACAATTACAATTACAATTACAATTACAATTATTATTATTATTTACTATTTTTATTATTTCTATTATTTCCTTTATTGTATAATTTTATTATTATTTATAAATTCATTACACATTAATAGTATTATTTATAATTAATTATAACTAATTAGGTTTCTGTTTAAGAACTGAACATGAATTCTTTAATGGAAAAATATTTCTAAAAATTTTTGCGATAACACATTTTTGAAGAAATATTTTGCTTTGTGTTTATTATATTAATTATTATAAATTTTACAAAATAAAAATTACCACAATTATTATTATTTTTATTATTATTACTATTACTCTTATTATTTCTTTACACTTTGTGACAATTAATTTATACTTATTACATAATCGCATTTTTTTTATTTACTTCTATAATTATGTGAATTACGAAATTACAATCAGCCAATTGTTTTATAAAATAAATAACTTTATTATTATACTTTAATCGAAATATTTTGTTGCTTTGTGCTAGCAAAATTTGTTGCCAATATATAATAGTAAAGATTTAATAATTATTTATCAAACAATAAGCTATAATTTTTATTTATTGTTCATAAAAGTTGTTGTTATTCAATATAAAAGAGTATTATATATCCACTTTATTACACTCAACAAATAACTGGGTTATTTATTTCGAAATTTATCCACAAAAAATTGTAATCACGTAATTCGACAATATCGTTCAAAAATGATCCCATTTTCGTGCAAACTCGCATAATAAATGATAGTTTCAAGATTGACAGGCTTGATTTCTCCCTTAAAACATTATAAAAAATAATAATAAAGAGTTTTTAATGATCAAAACAAAGTAAATAATAATAAATGAATAAATAAATAATTAAATAAGAGATAAAAACCCAGAAAAATGAAATATATTTGACTCCGAGTCTACTACAAATTTTCTTTGAACCAAATAAAAATTTTATTCGTTACAAATAAGTTTTATTTGAAATAAAATTATTATATTTGAATAAAATTATTATTTAATAATAATTATTTATTTATTTCAAATAAAAATGGAAGAAAAAAAGAAAAAAAAAGAAAAAGAAAAGAAAAGTTTTATTTAAAACAAAAGTTGCACTGAAAAAAATTTATTTGATTCAAATAAATATTGACTTGAATCAAATAATTTTTCTTTAAATAAATTAAATTGTTATTTACTTAAGTTAAATAAAAGTACATTTGTCTCGGAGCCTACTAAATTATTTATTTGTTTCAAATAAAAATTTTTTTCTGCATAAATAAAACTTTTATTTGAATCAAATAAAATGTTACTTGAAACAAATAAAATTTAATTGAACCAAATAAAATTTTACTTGAATCAAATAAAATTTATTTGAACCAAATAAAATTTTACTTGAATCAAATAAAATTTATTTGAACCAAATAAAATTTTACTTGAATCAATTAAAATTTATTTGAAACAAATAAAAGTCTAGGTGCGTCTGAGTCAAATATATCTTTTTTTTAGGTGTTTAATCAAATAAATATTTTTTCATCAGTGAAAGAAGAAAGTAATAAATAAGCAAATAAAAAAAAAAAATTAATAAATAACAGTCAAGAAAAATAAATAGTTAATAGATAAATGTGATATAAATATATTTGACTCAGTGTCAACTAGACTTTTTATTTGTTTCAAATAAATTTTATTTGCGGTTATAATAAAATTTCCTTTGGGTACAAATAAAATTTTTATTTGTATCGAATAAAATTTTTGTTTAAAACAAATAAACAAACTCTGAGACAAATATATACTTTTATTTAACTTAAATAAATTATAATTGGTTTAAATAAAATTTTTTTCTACAGGTAGAAAAAACAAGCGAATTATAGGTTATGTTCGTATCATATTTATCTTGATTAAAAGTTTCTTTTTAATTATATAAATTTAAAAATAGTTTTTATTGAATATTTTCGAAGTCATGAAGACTTGAACATCAATAATTTGGCAAAATAATCGATTCTCTTTACTTAATTTTACTTCAAATGTTATAAACATAACCTACAATTTTTTGCTTCTTAGAAAGGAATAAAGCCTTTGGAAGCGTGTCACAAATAAAAAAAGAAATAAACAATTAATATAACAGCCGAGTAAAATAAATAATTAATAAATAATGGAGAGAAAAATAGTTGAAAAAATATTAGAGAGTTAAATAGTAAATAAATAATAAAGAGATAAATAGTAAATAAATAATAGAGAGTTAAATAGTAAATAAATAATAATTCGGTAAATAAAAATCTAAGAAAGAAAAAGAATAAATAACCATGAAATATTTCACTCTATTGAACTCTCCTCATTTTTGGGGGAGAAATTTCTATTTCTTTTTTTTTTTTTCTTTTTTGATTTTCAAATCAAGTTTTATATAAAACATTATTAGTAGCAGTGTGTGTAGAGTATTAAAGAAGCGTGGAGGTAAAAATTGAATACATACAAAATAGAGATTTTATTATTTACACGCGAGTGTGTGTATATAGGGTCGTTCGACTTGGTACACGATTATGTCAGGGTTGCACGCAAGCTTTAAAGTTTACTCTTATGGGTATGTCAAGAATACTCAATGAGTAAGCATCGTTAAAGAAATTAATTCAGTGCCAACCGCAATATCAGAATTCACAACGCAGAAAATGTCGTCGACGTTGTCGTCGTTGTCCAGCATCGATCTCTCTTTTCTACTCTCTAGAAAATTCCCTCCGGCTACGTCAGACCTATCGAAGTTCAATGTGAAATTAATGATTCATTTATTAGGAGATAAAATAAGAACACAGCTTTTTTTTCTTTCCACCCCAATTGGCCCAGTTTCGTCTTATTTTTTTTTCATTTTTTTTTTTTTTGTAAATCAGAAAGTAAATCCTATTTCCTGTACAGAAAAAAAGAACATCCCCTTATTGTAATTTACTATAACATTTATTTACATTATAGTTCACTAACATGTGAACCTAACTGTAACTCTAAATTTTACTTTTCAAAATAAGTAATTAAAACGGAAATAATTAAATTCGAGTTCTAATTTAATTCTATTATTCACTAAATTACAATTTTTTCTCTATTTAACTTTTTGAAAGGAAAAGAGAGAGAGAGAGAGAGGGAGAAATAAAAAATTTTCAATGATACAAAAAGAGAAAAAAAATAAAAATAATTTTTTTTTCCTTGAAATTAAAAGAGAATACCATTTTTGGTTTTATGGATGTTGATTGACAGTGTAAATTCATTGTCTACAAAAAACATGAATTACCTTCGGCTCTATATGTATGTTTATACCTCAAGAGTAATCCGATGCCCTTGAGGAGAACTCACCCCTGACCTTATCCTCTTCACTACAGAAAATAAGTTAGCACTTGATTATTTTTTTTTCTCTTCTTTATACTATACACATGCTCACCATGTTTTATATTTTTAAATTTACTAAAACGCTCATTAAGCGTTAAATAATTAGCTTTGAAATTTAACGCACAAAAAGTTTTTACAAAGTATTTTTTATATCTTCAAAGTTCAAATAAGAAAATTCAAAACATAAGAGTGTAAAAAATGAAAAAAAAAATGCTAAACTGGAGAGAAATGTAAAAAAAAATAATTAACTTGTGAGAAAATTAAAAAACTATAACATTATTTTTTTTATTGTCCTTGCAAATTAATTATGTAATTTATTATATGTAATATATTATATTTAATTTAATTAAAAAATAATGTGCTTTTTTTAATTTTCTCTCAAGTTAATTATTTAATTTATTATAATAAATTTGAAGGAAAAAAAATTTCTAAAAATATCTATGATTTTTTATTTTTCTCGCAATTATTTAGAGTATTATATTTAATTAACTATAATTTAAATAATAAACTGATAAGAATTATTATTTTTTTTTCTCGAAAGATAATTAATTTATTATAATAAGTTTTCGTGAAAACTAAAATAATAATAAACTTAAAAGAAGAATAAAAGAAAATATCTTAAGAAAAAACTAACAAATTATCTTCAGAAAAAACTAAAAAAATCTTTTAAAAAAACTAAAAAATAATAATTAATTTGAGAAAAAATTAAGAAGTTAATTATAAACTTGAGAGGAGAATAAAAAAAATAATAAAAAACTTGAAAGAAGAATAGAACAAATTTCTAAAAAAAAAAAACTAAAAAATAATCTTAAGAAAAAACTAAAAAAAATCTTAAAAAATAATAAATTTGAGAAACAATTAAGAAGGTAATTATAGACTTGAGAGGAGAATAAAAAAATAATAATAAACTTGAAAGAAGAATAGAAAAAATTTCTAAAAAAAAAACTAAAAAATAATCTTAAGGAAAAACTAAAAAAAATCTTTAAAAAACTAAAAAATAATAAATTTGAGAAAAAATTAAGAATGTAATAATAAACTTAAGAAAAGAATAAAAAAATAATAATAAACTTGAAAGAAAACTAAAAATAATAATAATTAACTTGAGAGAAAACCAAAAAAATACCTAACAATAATGTCTTTATTTTCATAGCAAGCTAATTATTGAATTAACTATAGTAAATTTAATGGAAAAATAAAATAATAAACTTGAAAGAAGAAGAAAATAATAAATTTATAAATTTGAAAGAAGAATAAAAAATAATAAACTTGAGAAAAAAGTAAAAAAAAAATATATTAATTAGTTTGACAGAAAAATAAAAAAAATCAATAAACTTGAAAGAAAAATAAAAAAATAATGATAAACTAGAGAGAAAAGTAAAAAAATACTAAAGATGATAGAAAACTAAAAAAAATAATAATTAATTTGAAAGAAAACGAAAAAAATAATAATTGAATGGAGAGAGAAAAAAAAATAACTTTTTTTCTTTTAATAAATATTTAATCAATATTATTTTTCCATAGGAATTAAGAATTTAAAAAATTTCAAATTTAAATCTTTTTAAATTCAATAACTTATATAAAAATGTTTTATATTAATTAAAAATAAACGAGTGATAAAATTATTGTTTTATATTAAAAGAATATTATTACAGTAACTTTTTAAAAATTATTTTCATCATTTCAAATCAATTATTATTTTCTACAATTTTTAATTATTTTTTATGAAAATAATTGAATTCCTTAAACAAAATTTTATTATTTATAAAAATAATTGAATTATTGCGAAGGAATTTGTAAAAAAATTGTAAATAATTGAAATCCTAAGAAATTTTTATTATTTTTGAAAATAATTAAATGTTTACGTACTATTTTTGGGAATTTGAAATTTTTCACTGAGGGGAAGAATTTTGTTATTTATAAAGATAATTGGGATTTTGAGGAGAATTTTTTTTAAATTTGAAAGATAATTGAATTTTATGAGAATAATTTTATCACTCTTGAAAATAATTGAATTTTTGCAATTATTTGTAATTTTTCCGAAATTGGATTTTACACTTGAGAGAAAAACAAAAAAATAACTGAGAATAATGTTTTTTATTTTTCTGGAACAGGAAAATTAATATTAACTATTTAATTTATTATAATAAATTTAGATGAAAAATATAATAATAATAAACTTGATCAAGTTTATTATTATTTTCAAAATAATTTTTTTATTCTTTTTTAAATTTTATTAGTTTTTCTTCTTCTTTTGAAAGAAGAAGAAAAACTAATAAAATTTAAAAGAGAATGAAAAAATTATTTTGAAAAAGGACAAAAGATAATAAATTTGAATGGAGAATAAAAAATAAACACGCAGGAAAGAAGAAAAATAATAAAAATGAAATTCTATAGGAAAAATGTACTTTATACTTAAAATATTGTCATACATGGGGTAAAAAGGACAAAGAATTTAAATTTTCATTTTTCTTTTTATGAAACGTGGTGAAAATTCTTTTGTATATAATTTTAATAATTATTATTAAAATAACTATTTTTTAATTATTATTACAATAATTATTTTTTAATTATTTTGAAGTATCACAATCCTGTAATGTCTAAATTTTTTTTTACTCTCAAGTAAATTATTTTTTTTAAATATGAAAAAAAGAGTAAGAGAATTTTTTTTTTTTTTTACAGGAAGAAAAAATTGCTGATCGACGAGATTGGCTCGGGAAGTCAAATCAAGAACAGAGGTAGAAGTAATTGAAGACCAGTGAGTTGGGCGGAAATCGATGGCCATCAGCGCCCATGGGCGGCCTCGCGTTTAGGACAAGGAATAGCCCCTCCCAAAAGACCTCGCTCCGGTGGGGTGACTGCTGCCCCCCAAATTCCAGTCCCTCATCTTCGTCGGCCCTGCGAAAAGGCCCTCACCAGGATATGCCACCTCTGCCCGTGTGAGGTTGTCCCCCGCTGTTGCGTGCCTGTATTCCACGGGGTCTTCAGAGGTAAAAACAATTTTTTTTTCTTTTTAAAAAATTATTTCCCAAAATATAGCACATTGTTTTCTTAACTATATTTCGAAAATTTTTTAAAACCAAATTTACAAAATATCGCAAATTTGTTTTTATCACATTTACAAAATATTGCAGAATTTTTTAACATTTACAAAATATCGCAAATTTTTCTTTTGCCATATTTACAAAATATAACAAACAATTTGTTTGAATTGGTACAATGAGAGTGATTAATTTATTAATTAACATATACGATGTTTCACTTACTTTTTGCAACCGGATCATTCTAAAATTGTCGCCGACAGTCCACTTCAATAAGATCGTGTTGTGAATTCGTGTAAATTTTTATAATCTGCAAACAGAATAAAATTTCGATCAAATTCAAGTAGAAACAATGATTTAAAAAAAAGGTGAATAATGCACACGAGGTACACTTTTTAATTAATACGCAATCAATGTACTAGAAGCAAATTGGTAATGGAGTGGAAAAATTAATTAACGTGTCAAGACATTTCACGGATCGTGTGTAAGAATAAAAGAATTAATTTCTCTTAAAAGTTAAATTTTCAAAATTTTTTTTTAATTCTAATTTTTCTCTTTATTTTTTATTATTTGTGAATAAAATTTTCCGCTTGAATAAAATGATTCCAATTTGTTCGAAAAGTTTAATTAAAATTTGCAAAACAATTTTTTTCAATTATTTTTCAAAAATTTTAATAAAATTCTTAACGAAATTTCAATTATTTTCAAAAATTTTCCTCAATTTAATCATTTTTAAAATCTACTATTTTAATGGAATTTTCCAAATTAATTCAATTATTTAAAAATGCTTTTTTTTTAATTCTACGCAAAACATTCATTTATTTTTATAAATAATAAAAAATTCCATAGAAATTCAATTATTATAACTAATTTTTTTTTATAAATTTCTTCGCAATAATTCAATTATTTTAATAAATAATAAAATTCTTTTTAGGAATTTCAATTATTTTCATGAACAATAAAACTCATCGGGCATAATTTCAATTATTTTCAAAAGTAAAAAAAATCCTTAAGGGCATTTGAACCTTGATGACGTCACACATGCTTTGCACAAACTGTAACGTCATCAAGGTTCAAATGTCCTTAACAAAAATTTAATTATGTTCAAAAATTAAAAAAAAATTCACGTCAAAATGTCAATTATCTTCATAAAATAATAAAACTTTTCTTTAAAATTCAATTATTTTTAATAATTTTAATAAAATTTTTTGTCAAAATTTCAATTATTTTCAAAAGTTTTCCTCAATTTAATGATTTTTAATATCTACTGTTTTAATAGAATTTTCCAAAAGAATTCAATTATTTAAAAATATTCCTTAAAAATTCTACGCGAACATTCAATTATTTTCAAAAATAATAAAAAATTCCATAGGAATTTCAATTATTTCCAGAAACAATGAAACGCATCGCGCATAATTTCAATTATTTTTAAAATTGAAAAAAATCCTTTACAGAAATACAATTATGTTTAAAAATTAAAAACAAATTCTCGCCAAAATGTCAATTATCTTTATAAATAATTAAATTTTTCTTTAAAATTCAATTATTTTCAATAATTTTAATAAAATTTTTGGCAAAATTTCAATTATGTTAAAAAATTTTCCTCAATTTAATCATTTTTAATATCTACTATTTTAATAAAAATTTTCTAAACGATTTCAATTATTTAAAAAAATTTCTTAAAAATTCTACGCGAACATTCAATTATTTTCAAAAGTAAAAAAAATCCTTCACAAAATTTTCCACAAGAATTCAATTTTTTTAAATAAAATTTTCTTTTAAAATTTATTATATTTCAAAAAAATTAATTATTTAGAAAAATTTCTATAAAATTCTTATGAAGAATTCAACTATTTTTAAAAGTAACAAAAATTTTCACAGAAATTCAATTCTTTTTAAACATTAAAATTTTTCGCAATAAATTAATTATTTTCATAAATAATAAAATTCTTCTCGGAAATTCAATTATTTTTAATAATTTTAATAACATTTTTGGCAAAATTTCAATTATTTTCAAAAATTACCCTCAATTTAATGATGTTCAATATCCACTATTTTAATAGAATTTTACAAAAGAATTCAATTGTTTAAAAAAAATTTAATATCATTCTACACAATCGTTTTATTATTTTAATAAATAATAATTCCACAGGAATTCAATTATTTACAAATTTTTTATAAATTTCTTCGGAATAATTCAATTATTTTCATAGATAATAAAACTCATTGCACAATTTCAATAATCTTTAATACAATTTTAATCAAATTCCTAGAAAAATGAAAATATTCTGAAAAATTTTATTAAAATTCGTCAAAAAAGTTTAATTATTTAAAAAATGTTGTTAAAATTTTTTTATGTGAATTCAATTTTAAGAAACTTTCAATTATTTAATAAATTTTTTATTTTTGCATTTAAACACCTAATTGAATTGTCGTAAAATTTTCTGATAAAAATTAATTTAAAAATGAATTTCAATTAAACTTTTAGATAAGAATTGAATATTAATATCATCATAGCGTCAATTTTTAGAAATAATTGAATTTTGAAAAGGTTTTAAATTAAAATCTTTGAAAATCTGAATTTTCCATACTTTTAACTGTAACAATTCTGCAGAATTAATTCTTTTGAAAAAGTTTAATTGAATTATTTGAATTTATTTGAAGTTCTTAATTTCTAATAAATATTTAATTGAAGAATTTCCAAATAATCGAATTTTTTTTGTAAAATTGAATTGTAAACAAATATATTTGAAAATTCTTAAAGATTTTTTTTTAAAAATTATTAAAAATATTTTATTTACAGAAGAATTTTAGTTAAAAATTGTAGAAAATAATAAAGTGAATCAAAATAATGAAAATAAATTTTAAAAAAGCTTTATTCATAAATTTTGTAATAATTTTCTTCTAAGTTTTCGAATTTCAAAAAGGTTTGAATTTGAATGTTGTGAAGAATTTTAATTCCTACGGAAAAATTATAATGATTAAATATTTATTTAAAAATAAAGTTATTGATGTTTTCGAATAATTTTATAATTAAAGAAATTCGTAAATAAATATAACAGAACATTTTTGTTAAGTATCTAATCATTTTGAGAGTGAATCAGAATATTCAATAACGTCAGGGAAAAAGTCAATATTTTGTTTTGAATTCAAGGAAAAGTGAAAGAAAAACAAAATTAATTTATTTATGGTAACCCTGAAATTGCTTCGAACTTTATTTAAATTGCTCGGAACTTCTATATATACAAATTGCTTTAAATTTTGCGGACACGTTTTGACGGAGATTATTTGCAACAACTATATATAGATATTCCTGTCGATAAATTAACCGAGAGAGAATCGAGAAATTCTGCTTTTGAGTATGATGTACAAAGGAGCAGAAATCTAACGAGAGTTGGAAATTGTTCAACAGGTCAGATTGACCAAAGTCAAGTGATTATCTCATCAGAAAATGGACTTCAATAGAGTTAACGTGCGGGACAAAATTTCATATATATTTATTGATCGTGTCTATAATTATACACAGAGAATCCTGCTGTTGAGAAACTCAAACCTCTAATCAAGTTAGGACACAGTTTATAATTGGTAAATTTAACTAAACTTGAGGTGGTAAATTACCACAACTAATTCAGAAGTGCGATACCTTTTTTTGTGCAAATTTTTTATTCCTTCATTAATATTCTTTCGCTCTAGTCTCTTTTTTTAAATTTTAATACTAATGGTAGAAAAAGGTTTCAAAAATAAAAAGGTTCTATCAAAATTGCAACATTCAAAAATGCAGCAATAAAAAATACAACAGATAAAAATGAAACTTTAAAAAATGCCACAATCAAAAACAGTTAAAACTGCAACTTTCAAAAATGTAAAATTGAAAAGTGCGATACTAAAAAATGCAACATTTTATCTTTTGCATTATTGGAAAAAAGTTGTGGATTCGGTTTGTTTACAGAATTCTGTTTATATCAGAGATTTATCATTTAATGTTTGTTATAAATTTTCGAACAAATTTTTGTTGTTGCAGGTTTCCAAACGTTCCTAAATCAGATCGAATACCGAACCTCTCGGATCTTCGTCTTGGTCAGCTTGAATTTACGCCAGTTGACTTTTCCTCCCCGAAGATGATTAACTATGCCGGGGTCATTTCCATTCTTTTGTTTTACATTCTTATTCTCGGCGTGGGAATATGGGCCGCCAGAAAAAAGGAGGCCGGCAACGACTCCGAGGAGGAGGTGATGCTGGCTGGTCGTTCGATTGGATTATTTGTCGGTATTTTCACAATGACGGCAACATGGGTCGGCGGAGGTTACATCAATGGTACTGCCGAGGCAATTTACACCAAAGGTTTGGTCTGGTGCCAAGCTCCCTTCGGATATTCTCTCAGTCTTATTTTCGGTGAGTTTCGTTTTTATTATTCTCTATGGCTATTTAGCAAAATTTTCTAAAGTCTAAAATATGTAAATGGTAGTGTTGCTGCAGGAAAGTTGTCCTTGTTTTGGTATTCTTAATTTTTGCAACATTGCTACAAATACTGTGTAATGTTAACAAATATCAGTGATATACTATCCAAGCAGCACCTGAATCAACAAGAATATCTGTAGCATTGGACCGAAATCCTAATGTTTCAGCAATAATTACTGTTTATTATAAATAAATATCAGTTATAAACAGTACATGTTCCTGAAGAAATATTTGGAATACTGAACCAGCAGGAATATCTGTAGCATTGTGCCGATATCCTAAATTAGGATTCCTAATATTTCATAAATTACTTTTTACTATTAACAAATATCCATTCTACTGTCCAAACAGCAAATGTTTCTGGAGAATTATTTGCAACACTGTCTAGATATCTTAGTACTGCAGTAATTTTGAGTAATTTATATTAATTTTTTAGTAATTTTAGTACAGTAATTTTAATTTGGAATATTTCTGTAGTCTCAGGAACGACTACTTTAGGCTTTTCTAAAACAAATTTTAACGGATCTTAACTGATGTTCTACCAACTTAACTAAATTTTCAAAAGTCCAACTAACAGCAACAATAGTTTCTGCAGGAAACTTGTATTTGTCTTAGTATCCTAATATTTTGGCACCAATGCAACAAGTACTGTTTAACCCAAACAAATATCAGTATTAGTATCCAAACAGCAACTAAAGCTGGAGAAATGTAAACAGCATTATCTAAATATTCTAATAGCGCAGAAATTTAAAAAGAAAATTCTGTAATCTTGCTATGCCGTTGATTCAGCTTTTGTGAAACTTTAACGGTTCTGCCTAAACGTATGTTACCCAATTCTTTTCTAATTTCCCAGTTTCAGGGCTCGAACTAGATCCATAAATTTGCTTAAAATTCGTAAAAGTAATTTTTTTTAGAAAAAGGTCCATAAAGTCCTTGATTTGATTGAAAAAGCACGAAAAGTTCGTAAATTGTACCATAGAATTTGGAGAATTTTTGAATATGTAGTTATAAATGATTGCAAAAATTCAATTATTTTCAAAAGTAATAAAATTCTTCTCAGAAATCTATTATTTTAATAAAATTTTCAAAAAAATTCAATTATTTAAAATTTTAAATACATTTCAATAAAATTCTACGCAAACATTTAATTATTTTCATAAATAATTAAATTTTTACAGATATTCAATATTATTTTCGTAAATAATAAAATTCTTTTTAGGAATTCCATTATTTTCATAAATAATAAACATTTTAATTATTACAATTTTAATCGAATTATTCGAAAAATGTAATTATTCTTCAAAATTTTGATAATAAATCCGTCATAAGAATTATTTTCATAAATAATAAAATTTCCACATGAATTTTATTATTTTAAAACACAATTTTCATAAAATTTGTCGAAAAAAATCAATTATTTAAAATGATTTTTATAAAATTAATTCAATTATTTTTAATACAATTTTAAATGGTATTTACAAATTTTTTTATAAAATTCTTTCCAAACATTTAATTATTTTCATGAATAATAAATTTTTCACAGGAATTCAATTATTTAAAACACAATTTTCATAAAAACTTTCGAAAAAAGTCAATTATTTAAACAAATTTTTATAAAATCTATCGCAAGAATTCAATTATTTTTACAAATAATAGAATTCTTAAGAATTCAATTATTTGGAAAAATTATAATAAAATTCGTTGCAAGAATTCAATTATTTTCATAAATAATAAAATTCATCGCAGGATTTAAACTATTTTTATTAATACAATTTTTACTTGTATTTAAAACATTTTTCAAGTAATTTAAAAAATTTTTTAAATTCTTCGTAAAAATTCAATGATTTTTGAAAATTTTAATATAATCTTCTTAAGAATTCAACTTTTTTGAAAAATTTTAATAAAATTCTTTTTAGGAATTCAATTATTTTGAAAAATTTTAATAAAATGCTTCTTAGGATTTCAATTATTTTGAAAAATTTCAATAAAATTCGTTCCAAGAATTTATAAATAATTATAATAATAATTATAATAATTATAATAATAATTATAATAATTATAATAATAATTATAATAATTATAATAATAATTATAATAATTATAATAATAATTATAATAATAAAACTCATCGAAGGATTTCAATTATTTTTAATACGATTTTAAATTGTATTTAAAACATTTTTTAATTATTTAAAAAATTTTTTAAGTTCTTCGTAAGAATTCAATGATTTTTAAAAATTTTAATAAAATTCCTTGCTAGATTTCAATTATTTTTAAAAATTTCAATAAAATCCTTTGTATCAATTCAATGATTTAAACAAATTTTGATAGAGCTCTTTATAAGTATTTAATTTTAAGAAGTATTCAATTATTCAACAAATTATTTAATTTTATAATTAAGTAATTAAATACTCATAGAACTTCTTAATATAAAAATTAATTTAAAATTGAATTCCAGATAAAGTTTTAAATAATAATTGAATTTTGAAATTAATTTTTTTTTAAAGTTTAATTGAATGTTTTGATATTATTTAAAGTTTTTATATTCTAATATATATTTAATTAAAGAATTCTCGAATAACTGAAATTTTAGGTAACATTGAATAGCAAACAAATGAATTAGAATATTCTCAAAGAACTTTTTCAAAAATTATTAAAAAATAATTGATTTAAAGAAGAATTTTAGTTAAAAATTCTAGAAAATAATAAGTGAATCAAAATGGTGAAAATAATGTTGAAGAAGTTCGGGTATAAATATTGTTATAATATAAGATAATGATTTTATCATTCGGCTATCTTTAATTATTATAAAACTGGAAGAAATCAATCGCTTCGAGTCGAAGACTCGGAGTGATCGATATCTTCACGTTTTATTAGTTATGAAAAAATTTAATTTCTAGTTTTAAGTAAAATGTTCTCTTATTTGATTCGGACTGGTTATATTTTTGTCAGTAATTACTTAAATGGTCCGTAATTTTTTATTTTTGGTCCGTACACTGTAAAAGGAAAGGTACTAAATTTAGTACCAATTTTGTTACTAAATCGTAATCTGGTTCTATTTTAATACCGAAATCAGTTCTAATTTAGAACCTTTTTTTTATAGTGTAAAGTCCGTATTTTTAAATACTTTCACTGGTTCGAGCCCTACAGTTTGTATTGTTGCTGTAGGAAATTTCTCATCTTCTCAATATGCTAATATTTCAGTATAGCATTAAAAGATTATTAGGAAATATTTCCTTTTTTTTGTTAAGAACGCTTTTTTGAAACTATATAATCAGAAATATTTATTTAATTAGGAATAAAATAAAGTTTGCATTTTCATTATTTACAGGTGGAATATTCTTCGCCAATAAGATGCGACAGCAGGGGTATATCACAATGTTGGATCCTCTCCAGGACGCATTTGGAGAACGAATGGGCGGCCTTCTATTTCTTCCGGCCCTTTGCGGTGAGGTATTCTGGGCCGCTGGAATCCTCGCAGCACTTGGTGCCACATTGGCAGTGATCATTGACATGGATCACAGAACATCAGTTATTGTTAGTGCAGGAATTGCCGTTTTTTACACACTATTTGGCGGTCTTTATTCCGTTGCCTATACCGATGTCATCCAACTTTTCTGCATCTTCATTGGACTGGTGAGTTTATAATTATAATCATTTCAAATTACTCTATCATCTTTTTTGTTTATTACTTCACAGAAAAAACGATAAACTAATTTTAAGAAGCTGTGCTTCTGTGTTGTTATCCTTTTGTTGTCATTTCCATTTTTGGTTTTTTGTTACCTTTTTCTGTCTTGTTTTGTTGTTTTTATTTGCCATTTTGTATATTTTTCACCATACCAGACTTGCAGAAAGAAGTATTTTAAGGGCCCATTTCACCAACACCGATTAAAAGTTAATCAATGATTAAATCCTTATAACTGACCAATCATGAGCGGTTAAACTAACATTAATCATCGATTAACTTTTAATTGGATTTGTTGAAACTGGCCCTTAAAGTGATTGCAAAGTTACATAATTTTTGCAGTGCGGTTTTTATTTAAATACTTTAATAGAGATGGTATAATGAAGTTTCAGATCTTTATCGGAGTATTTTATTAATGAATTCAAAATTTCGAATATAAATTAAACAGCAATGCCAAAGGGACACATAACGTTTAATTGGATTTGAAAAATTTGCATAACTGTGGTTTAATCTCCGTGTTACATAATCTAGAGGATTAGCTGATTTAGATGATAAAAGTATATATGTGGAAGAATCTTGATTGGTTAACGTTGAAATTTTGAGGGTCGAAAATGATCTATCTTGGTATTCTTTTACGAAAAGTGTGTTATAAAATACATGTTCTATGCTCAAAGTTGTATTCAGGTTTATGCAAAAACCTTTCAACCTTATCATTTGCGGGTCACGCTCCCCTATCTTGATTTTCATTCATTTCATCATGAAAAAGTCCTTTTCATTCTGCACTTCTGGTCACTGCTTTACCTCTTGGATCATTTCTATACCGATTAACGACATGCTAATGAAAATTCCTTCTAAAATCAATTAGTAGATTAGTAAAATTAATACTATTATTTTAAGGATAAATAAATTAGTGGACTAGTAAAATTAATACTATTATTTTAAGGAAAATAAATTTTTTTTAAATGTTTGCATAAAATTTCAATCATTAGGATTTCCACAGGTCAGGAAATTCAGGGAAAAGTCAGGGAAAGTAGAATTGGTCAGGGAAATCAGGGAAAAGTCAAGGTTTTTAGTAAAAGTACTGGAAAAAATTGAACTTTTAAAATTCATAGGAAAACTAAATTTTGAATGAATTTAATTAGAAATTTTAAAGAACTTAGTTTTTAAAAATATTTTAATAATTCAAATTCTTCTAAAAACTGAGTTACACTTTTTAATACATATTTAATTAATTATTTAAAAAATTACGGATTTATAAAAGAATTTTAGTTAAAAACACTAAAAAAAATTGAATTTTAAAAAAGTTACAAATATAATTGCAGAAATCCAATTATTTATTCAATAATTAGTTACCATTAGCTATTTCGGTAGGAAAATATTACTATTTGAATAGGCTCCACCCTTTAGCAAAAAATAAAAAATTATTAAAAATTATCAAAAATTCGAGAAACCGAATTTTTTAAAACTCAACATTTTTTCTTCAGTTTTTTTGCATTTAGCTTCATTATTTTTGTGCTCTTCAAAAATACTTTACTTATTTAATAGTCTCGACTCTTTGGTAAAAAATCTGAAAATATCGAAAATTATCAAAAATTCGAAAAACCGAATTTCTTAAAATTCAACATTTTTTCTTTTTTTTTTGTGCATTTAGCTTAATTATTTTTGGGCTCTTTAAAAATACTTTACTGTTTTAATAGGCTCCACCCTTTGGTAAAAAATAAAAAATTTTTAAAAATTATCAAAAATTCGAAAAACCGAATTTCTTAAAATTCAAGTTTTTCTTCTGCTTTATGGCATTTAGCTTCAATATTTTTGGGCTCTTCAAAAACACTTTACTTATTTAATAGTCTCCACCCTTTGGTTAAAAATTTTAAATTATTAAAAATTATCAAAAATTCGAAATTTGAACCAAAATTCAATTATTTAATAAATTATTTATTTTTGAATTTAAATAATTGAATTTTCCTAGAATTTTCTAAAAAAAATTGATTTAAAAATTAATTTCCGAATATCCGATTTATTATGTATTAAATTAATTGAATTCTTGCAGTGAATTTTATTACTTTTTTTAAAATAATTGAATTCTTCTGATAAATGTTGTTATTCATGAAAATAATTGAATTTTGCAAAGAATTTTATTAAAATCTCTCAAAATAATTGAATTTTGCAAAGAATTTTATTAAAATCTCTCAAAATAATTGAATTTGCGGGAGTAATTTTGTTGTTTATCGACATAATTGAATTCTTTCGAAGAATAATTTATGTAAATAATTGAATTCTTTGGAAGAATTTTATTAAAATCTAAAAAAATAATTGAATTTTTTCAAAAAAATTTAATTAATATTATATTTAAAATAATTGATTCCTTCGAAAAATTTTATTAAAATATTTGAAAGTAATTGAATTGCTGTGAAAAATTCTGATTTTTTTTTGGAAAATAATTGAATTCCTGTGAAAAAATCTATTATTTTTGAAAATAATTGAATAGTGACTAAGAATTTTGTTAAAATCTTCAAAAATAATATTAAATTCCTGAGAAGAATTTTATTATTTATGAAAATATTTGAATTCTTCATTGGAATTTTATAATCATTGTTTTAAATAATTAATTTTTTCAAAATATAATAAATATTATAAAAATTTTATTATAAATAATTGAATTCTTTGGGAAAACTTTATTCGTGAAAATAATTGATTTCAATTATTTAATAAATTATTAATTTTTGAATTTAAATAATTGAATTTTCGTGGAATTATCTAATAAAAATTTATTTAAAAATAAGTTTCCGAATAATCGATTTATTATTTATTAAAGATAATTTAATTCTTGCAACGAATTTTATTACATTTTTTGAAAATAATTGAATTCTTTTGAGAAATTTTACTACTTGTAGAAATAATTGAATTTTTGCGAAGGATTTTATTATGATTTTTTAAAATAATTACATTTTTTTGGAAAAATTTTATAATCTAAATTATTATAAAACATCAAGAAATCATGTTTTGAATTTAATTTCGTATGAATGTATATTTAATATTTTTGTTTGTTCAACATTATTTATTAAAATTTATTGATGTTTTCGAATAATTTTACAATGAAAGAAATTTGTAAATAAATGTAATAAAAAATATTTTTTAATATCTAATAATTTTTAGAGTGAATCAGAATATTCTTTAGAGTCAGGGAAAAGGTCCAAAATTTTTCTGTAAATCAGGTAAAAGTCAGGGAAAAACAAAATTTTATATTTGTGGCAACCTTGATCATGTTATTAGCCTGAATTAAGATAAGACTTGTTTTTAAAGATTATTTTTTCTGTTGCTTTACAATTTTTTGGGGGGTGATTTTCTGATTACAGTGGATGTGCATTCCATTCGCCTGGGGAAATCCCAAAGTGCTTCCATTAAGTTCAATGGATGTGGATTGGATAGGCGAAGTTGATCCGAAGGAATATTGGTCCTATGCGGATTATGGTTTGCTGCTTATCTTCGGAGGAATTCCCTGGCAGGTGTATTTTCAAAGAGTTCTGTCGTCAAAAAGTGCTGCCAGGGCGCAAATTCTAAGTTACGTGGCTGCATTTGGATGCATTCTGATGGCAATACCTCCTGTTCTGATTGGTGCCATCGCGAAAGCAACTCGTAAGTCTTATCGATTATTATTCCAAAAACAAAATTGCATGTCCTTTTTTGTTGCACGATTTCGATATAAATTTAGCATTAAATTACTCTCCACTCTAGAGAACTATCACGCTAGTGTTTTGCTGAAATTCCTACAGTATCTAAATTTTATTTCTAGACTATATTTCTTTATCTGCAAACTTCTTTATTTCTTTATTTTTGGACAATGGTTCTTTATTTCTAGATTATATTTAGGGGTGTGTTTCTAGGTATGAGACGGGTTTTTGTTTTTGACCCATAAATTTTAAATGGGTAAACAAAATTGTTAACAAAATATACCGTTCGAAAAGTAACTTAAATACGCAACTTTTATTCATATAGAAAGTATAGTGTTCAGATGGACTCAAAAAAAGTTATGATTAATTTTCTGAGCACATCGCTTTTGTCAACAGTGTCCGGTTGTGAGACACTTATTAAAAATTGACTATTCTGTTTTTCTTCTAATAACTTGAAAAAAATATCGAAATTATTGGAAAAAATGGAAAAGTTCGAACTGACGAGAGATTCGTTCTCTATTCTCCGAAGCGTGAAAATTTTGTTTTGATATGGGGTCGCGCAGTTTTCCAAGAGGATTAAATTAGACTCGGTTCACCCGCGACCCTGCTACTTGACATTGGAATGGGGTATAAAAAGGGGGAGACCATTGCGCTACTGGTATAATACTTGGGAAACGTGGACATAGCGAAAGTAGATGGGGTAGAGATCGTAAATATAATATCGTGGGATCACACCATGTGAGACACTTGCATCAAAGGTGAGGGTGATAATACAATTCTCTTGTGTAACATAAATATATACATACATAAATGCACACATAAATACACACAGAAATACATACATAAATACATACACAAATACATAAATACATACATAAATACATATATAAATTCATACATAAATAAATACATAAATACATACATAAATATATACACATACAAATATATACCCACACAATATAAATACATATCTCTACACCATACTCAAAACTAATTCCAACTTGTATCGAAATTTCAAACTTTGAATTCTGGAATTTTAATATTTTTGATCGATATCCGAGCAAGTTTATTTCAATGGAAAATATTTATTCGTATACGTATGATGGAGAATCGTGTTTTATTCACGACTTTATATTGTCAAAGTTTTGTGTATATGAAAGTATATATATGATTCATTCAGACATTGAATATACATTGCGAAAAGAGTCTCGTAGTCGGAATGTATAAATTTTTTCTTGTATGTGCGTTTTCATAAATATAGAGTCGTTTATAAATTTGTTAAATTTGTGTTTACCTGCGTCTCTTTACGGATTTACCAGATGGATAAGGTATTAGGGTACATTTAATATTAATCAGGAGAAGGAGAATTTAAAATCAGGCTAGTTGCTCATCTCTTATTCTCCTCTCTAACTTTATGGTTCTGAACTTCTGAGTATTATTATTTGTGCATTTTGAGTATTTTATTAAGTAGTTTGTGTGAGTAAATACGTTAGTTGATATCAATTCAGAAATAAACGAATGCTTTAATTATTTTTTAGTTCCGTGAAAAGAAATTTTATTCCAAAATTTAACAAATAGATTAATAAACTTGGGCTTTTTGATGATAGGCATACTATTCACCAGATAACTTTATCGCATGCTATTTTGTACAACTTTCTGACAATCGAAATGAACTGCAGGCTTCGCACTCATCTACTAAAACCTACTATTTACTACTTTTTTGGTACTTTTTTTTAGATTTTAGCCTCTAAAAGCTACTATTTTTTTTTAAATTTCCACTACTTTAAATTCCCTAATACTAGAAATAAAAAAACTATTCTCAAAAATGATAATCAAATTTTTTAGAACGATGCAATTATTTTCAAAAAATTTTCGAAATTCAATTATTTTTAATATCTAGTATTTTCATAATAAGCAAAAGAATTCAATTATTTTTAAAAAATTGATAAATTCATCCAAAATTCAATTATTTTCATAAACAAAAAAATTTTCACAGGAATTCAAGTAATTTAAAATAGCATTTTAAAAAAATATCGAAAAAATCAATTATTTAACAAAATTTTTATACAATTCTATACACAATAATTCAATTACTTTCACTAATAATAACATTTTTCCTGGAAATTCATTTTTTTTAAAAAAATTTTTGATCAAATTCTAAGCAAGAATTCAATTATTTTCATAAATAATAAAACTGACCGTAGAATTTCAATTGTTTTAAATACTATTTTAAATTACTTAATCGAAAAATTCAATTATTTTCTTTTACAAATAAAGATTTGTACAAGAATTCAATTATTTAAAATAAAATTTTCATAATATTTATTATATTTCAAAAAAATTGACTATACAATTTAAAACAATGTTTATAAAATTCTTATAAAGAATTCAATTATTTTCAAAAATAACAAAATTTTTCCACAGAAATTCAATTTTTTTAAAACATTATAATAAAATTTTTCGCAATAATTCAATTATTTTCATAAATAATAAAATTCTTCTCAAGAATTCAATTATTTTCGATAATTTTAATAAAATTCTTAGCCACTATTCAAATATTTTCAAAAATATTAGAATTTTTCACAGGAATTCAATTACTTTCAAAAAAAAATTAGAATTTTTCACAGGAATTCAATTACTTTCAAATATTTTAATAAAATTGTTCGAAGAAATCTATTATTTTAAATATAATTTAAATTAAATTTTTTTAAAATAATTCAATTATTCTTTTAGATTTTAATTAAATTTTTCCCAAGAATTCAATTATTTACATAAATAGTTCTTCGAAAGAATTCAATTATGTCGATAAATAACAAAATTATTACCAAAATTCAATTATTATTTTGAGGCATTTTAGTAAAATTCTTTGCATAATTCAATTATTTTCATAAATAACAATATTCATCAGAAGAATCAATTATTTTTAAAAGTAATAAATTTCTTCTTAGAAATTCAATTATTTTAAAAAATTCTAATCAAATCGTTCGCAAGAATTCAATTATTTTCATAGATAATAAAATGCTTTTTAGGAATTCAATTATTTTCAAAAAAAAATGTAATATAATACCACACAGGCATTCAATAATGTCAAAAATTTTAATAGAATTCTTTGTAAAATTGAATTATTATTTTTAAAAACTTTTTGCAATTCAATGATTTTCAATATCTACTATCTTCAAATAATTTCCAAACAGAATTCAATTATTTAAAAAATTTTTTGTTTAAAATTTTTTTTTTTTAAATTCTTCGTAAGAATTCAATTATTTTCAAGAATAATAAAAATTTCTCAGTAATTTAATTATTTAAATTAGAATTTACATAAAATTAGTCGAAAGAAATCAATTATTTAAAAGTTTTAATATAATTCTTCGCAAGAAATAAATTATTTTTCTAAATATTTAAATTCTTTCATGAATAATAAAATTCGTGACAGGAATTTAATTTATTAGCAGAATAAGAAAGAAGTAAATATTTTTGATGAAAATTAGGAAAAAATCAGGAAAATAAAATATAGAATGGAATTTTTGTCATAGTTTTCTGAAGCAGCCTAAAACGATTTTTTTTTTTTTTTTTGGTCATCAAGTTGAATTTTTCGATAGCTACTTTTTAACTACTTTTTTTTAGTTTGAAAGCTACTTTTTGCTACTTTTTTAAAATTAATTATCGAGTGCGAAGTCTGGAAGTGCAACTTGAATCAATTAGTGCTGATGATGTTTACCAGTACCATTATCATTGTACCCAATAAGAATTTCCACTCCCAGTGGAGAGGAAATGTCAGTAGTGTCACAATATTATGTCCAGTATTCGTGCCAGAGTAGCGCAATGTTGAGATTGAGTTAATTTTGAATTACTCCAGCCACTAGTGCTCTGCTAAGTACAGATTTGCTAATACTGATTGACATAGTACTAATGGTTAATTCACAGCACCATGAGGAACAATTTTCACTCAAAATAATTAATTTTATGCACATTCCAATTATCCGGATCAGGTTTAGTCTGAAACGAATACTTGTAATCCTACTGTAGTAGTTCTAAAGTAAGTTTTTAGTAGTTTTAACTGTTTTAGTAGTTCTAGCATTTTTACTGCTTTACGTACTTTCAGTACTTTAGCAGTTTCAGTAAAACACTAATTAGTAATAAGTACAAATTAATCAATAAGTACAAACTAATCAATAAGTACAAACTAATCCAAATAATAAAAATTCCCCTTTCAAAAATACTTGTTAGGTGTCTTAAATAACCCCTTGGATGCTACTTTGTTTTCAGCTTGGAATGAAACGGGATACAAGGGACCGTATCCACTAACGGAATCCGAGACAAGTATGATCCTGCCAATGGTTCTTCAGTACCTGACACCTGATTTTGTTTCGTTCTTTGGTTTGGGAGCTGTTTCCGCAGCGGTGATGTCTTCAGCGGACAGCAGCATCTTATCAGCAAGTTCTATGTTTGCAAGGAATGTCTACAGGCTGATTTTTCGACAAAGAGTGAGTCTTTAAATTTTTTTCTTTTATCATTATACTCTATCTATATACATAAGAGATGGAGAATATTTTCTCTGATATTTTTCTCCTATAAGAGAGAAATTATAACATCATTTTTCCCGGTGCGTCAATAATGTTTGAAAAAATTTTAGTTTCGCGTTCGTTCGATAGAAAAGTTTCCTTTAGTGGAAAATAAACGCTCGATATTGGAGTAAATATTGAACAAAAGACGTTCTTTGTTATATGAGGAATTCTTGATGCGCGTCATGATTTATTTTTAATCAACTTTAGATCTGTTTTGATCGAATGTTTATTTAGGAGGTTTATTTTATTTTTAGCAACAGTTTTTTTGACTTTATAGCAGTTTTTTGCGTTTCCAGGGTTGCCACAAAAATTTAATAATTTCGTTTTTCCCTGATTTCCAGACAAAATTTTGACTTTTTCCCTAAAGAATATTATGACTCACTCTAAAAATTATTGGATTGATTGTAAAATTATTCAAAAACGCCAATAACTTCATTTTTAAATAAATATTTAATCATTATTATTTTTCTACAAGAATTATGATTTTCAAAATTTTCAAATTCAAAATTTTTGAAATTCAATAACTGATAAAAATATTATTGTAAAACATGAAGAACTGGATTACTCCGAGTCTTCGACTCGAAGTGATCCATTTCTTCATGTTTTATAATATTACATATTATTACTGTAACTATACTTCAAAATTATTTTCATCATTTAATTCAATAATTATTTTCTACAATTTTTAAATAAAATTGTTCTTTAAATCAATTATTATTTTTAATAATTTTTGCAAAAGTTCTTTGACAATTTTCAAATCCATTTGTTTACTATTCAATATTACCAAAAATTTCAATTATTCTGAAATTCTTCAATTAAATATATATTAGAAATTAAAAATTTGAAATAATTTTTAAAAATTTCGATTAAGCTTTTTGGAGAAAATTAGTTCCACATAGAATTTGTAATTTTTATGAAAAATTAAGATTTTCAAAGATTTTAATTTGAAACCTTTACAAAATTCAATTATTTCTAAACATTGCAATTAGTAGTACCTAACTTTTTAAAAATTCAATTGTTATTTAAAACTTTAACTGAAATTAATTTTTAAATCAATTTTTATTAGAAAATTCTTCGAGAATTAAATTATTTAAATACAAACATATAGATAATTTATTGAATAATTGAATGTTTCTTAAAATTGAAATATTATACAGAATTTTGTTTAACAAATTTTTGAATAATTGAATTTATTATTTATGAAAATAATCGAATTACTACGAAGAATTTTATGGAAAATTTTAAAACATTTGATTTCTTTAAAAACAATTTATGCAAATTCTATTTTAAATAATTGAATTCCTGTGAAATTTATATTTTTTTTTGGAAAATTATTGAATCTTCGTGTAGAATTTTATGAAAATTTTTGTTTAATAATTGAATTTGGGAAATTTTAATAAAATAGTAGAATATTAAAAATCATTTAATTAAGAAAATTTTTTGAAAATAATTGACATTTTGCTATGAATTTTATTAAAATGTTTGAAAATAATTGAATTTTCTACTTTTGTAAATAATTGAATTCCTGTGGAATTATTATTATTTATGAAAATAATTGAATTTTACAATGAATTTTATTAAAATTCCTGGAAATAATTGAATTTCCTCGAAGAATTTTGATATTCATTTTAATTTTTAATTTTTAATTTTTTAATAGAATTTTCAAAAATAATTGAATTTCAAAGAATTTTATTAATTTTGAAAATAATTGAATTCTTGTGATCTTGTTATTTATGAAATAATCGAACTTTCCAATGAATTTTATACGAATTCCTGAATATAATTGAATTTCAGCGAAGAATTTTTGCGATTTATAATGATAATTAAAATGTTGTCGAAATTTTTTTTTTAATTTTTGAAAATAATTTAATTTCTGTAAAGAATTTTGATATTTGTTAAAATAGTTGAATTTTCATAAAAAATTTTAACAACTTTTTTGAAATAATAAAATTTTTTGACGAATTTGAATAAAATTTTTTAGAATATTTTCATTTTTCGAGGAATTTGATAAAAATTGTATTAAAAATTATTGAAATTCTGCAATTTGTTTTATTATCCATTAAAATAATTGAATTATTGCGAAGAAATTTACAAAAAAAATTGTAAATAATTGAATTCCTGTGGAATTATTATCATTTATGAAAATAATTGAATTTTACAATGAATTTTATTAAAATTCCTGGAAATAATTGAATTTCCTCGAAGAATTTAGCGATTTATAAAGATAATTAAAATGTTGTCGAAAATAATTTAATTTTTGGAAAGAATTTTGATATTTGTTGAAATAGTTGAATTCTTTTGAAGAATTGCGTTAAATTTTTTTTTAAATTGAAACTAATTTCAACAAAATTTATATTAAAATATTTCAAAAAAAAATTCTTTATTAAATGATTTATAAGTAATAAATTTATGGCAGTTCTTCAATAGAATTATGTTATTAAAAATAAATTATTGTCAGAAATAGAAAAAATAGGTTTTTTTAGAATTCGTGATAATTTTTTCCAGTACTTTGAATAAAAATCTCTGACTTTTCCCTGAATTCCCTGACCTGTGGCAACCCTGGTTTCGTACTTAAATTTTTATTTCCTGTTTAGAATTGGCTGAAGTATTCAGAAACGGAAAATTTTTTTAGCATACAGTTAGTGATGCATGTCGAGTAAATAGATTTCGTTTGTCTTTCTCTTCCTCTCATAAAATGTGATTTAATTGTTTTAATTTTTATTTTGACGATATTCTCGATTTTGATGAGAATCGTTCGACATGCAACACTACATACAGAGAAAATTCGTGTCGGTTACGGAAATTATAGAAGAATTAAAATTAACGGATTCGATACAGTAAAAGAAGTCTTAACTTGATAAAAAAATCCTTTGATAAAGATTTAAAGTTAGCCGACTTTTTGGCTCGTAATTTAAATTTTGATTTCTACTTTCAAAAGTCTATGACTTCCAAGTGATGAATCAAATCAAAGTCAAAATGAAAGTAGAAATGTAAGTCAAGAAAAAAATTTGTGATTCCTTACAGATTATTTGCATAACTCGTAGAAATCCTTTTGTCAAAGCTCACCAAGATGAGACTTTTTTTTCTGTACAACAAAATCTCCAGAGAAATTCCCTTGACCTGAATAATCATTTAATAAAAATTGAAACAAAAAAAAAAAAACTATTTCTCGATTAGGCATCTGAAATGGAGATCATCTGGGTGATGCGAGTGGGAATATTAGTTGTTGGAGTCCTCAGCACAGCGATGGCCTTAACCATACCATCAATCTACGGTTTATGGTCAATGTGCTCAGACCTTGTATACGTAATCCTGTTTCCACAATTGCTGATGGTGGTACACTTTAAAGACTACTGTAACACCTATGGCAGCTTGGCAGCATACATTATCGCGTTTTTGGTAAGATTAACAGGTGGTGAGGAAATGTTGGGACTCCCGCCATTAATACATTATCCAGGTTACGATGAAGAAAATAAAGTTCAGCTATTTCCCTTTCGAACAATGGCAATGCTGATGTCATTAGTGACATTAATTGGTGTCTCATATGGCACCAAGGAACTCTTCCTCTCAGGTAGACTTGCTCCGGGCTACGATATATTTCGATGTGTTGTCAATATTCCTGAGGATGTACAACGAGTGGGACCCGATCCAGCTGAGGGTGAACAAATGTCAGTTCTTGCAGCGGGTGGTGGAAGACTTTATGGAAGCAAGGACGAATCGAACGGACGAGTGAATCCAGCGCTCGAGCCGGACTACGACATGGAGCCGGGATACAGGGCTGTTGGTGCTAGTGATGATGATGATGATAATATTGGCAGCGGAGGTGGTGGAGTCATTGGGGCGCATATGGTACCCCGTGGCACCAGCGGACTCAGGCAGCCACAGTCTAGTACTGCGTTCTAATCCCAAGTTCCGTGATCGGATGCTGTGACCAACAATAAGTCCGGCGACGCGGTGTCTTCATTTTCCTTCACACTTTTTGTCCTTCCACTTTTAGTTTTCTTCTCTAATTTTATTCGGAATATTAATGCATTTTTTCATTTTGTTTAGTTCATCTTTTTTTGTGTGTCTTAAGAATGTCCTTCTTTAATTTTTTGTTCCTCTTTTTCGCATCTGTTTTAATAGAGCCTTCTTTAATTTTTAGTTTATCCTTCGCATCTGTTTTACTGTTGCCTTCTTTTATTTTGTTTGTACCTCTTTTTCTGCTGTTGCTAAAGACCTTTATCGTCAGAATTCGTCAGATTGCACGCCACTAGACATCTAATCGAACTCCTATTCTAAATCCTATCGGATTTACGTTCCTTGGCGATAGAATAGGGATAAGTTAGCAACTGCAGATGAATAATTCGGTTTTGTTTCCGTTTTACAATTTCTTTAATTTTCTTTACACTGAGAAGGGAATTTAGTTTTCATAACAAGACTTTTGTTTAGTATTTAAGTAACTAGTTTGGTTGATTAATTGCAGAACAAACGTTTTGTTGTCAAAAATAAATTTTTACCCATCAGTACGGTTTCTTCTTTTTTAGGGGATCCTCTAAAAAAGAAGAAACATGACAAAGAAACTGACAAAGAAATCTTTGTCTGAATGTTTTCGTTTTTTTCTGTCTTATTAAGAAACATGAATATTCGCGAAATAATAAAAAGTTTCCGTTTAGAAATAAACGGTTTTAACAAACAATTAATAAATATCCTTTGATATGAAATTTATTTGACATAAATTTCATTGGACACAGAATGCATTTGGTATAAATATCATTTGACATAAACCTCATTGAATCTAAAATAAATTTGACATAAACTTCATTGAACCTAAATTTCATTTGACATAAAAATAACTTGACATAAATTTCAATCGACATAAGTATTATTTGACATAAAATTAATTTATGTTAAATAAATTTTAATGTCAATTTCATTTTATGTCCAATGAAATTTCTGTCTTGTGAATATTGTGTCGAATGAAATTTATGTGAAATGAGTTTCATGTCTCATGAAATTTATGTCAAATGAAACTTATGTTAAATGAATTTCATGTCAAATGAAATTTATATTAAATGTATTTTATGTCAAATGAAATTTATGTCAAATGTATTTTATGTCAAATAAAACTTATGTTAAATATTTTTATGTCAAATAAGATTTCGGAAATATTCATGCTTTTTTATACCTTTTCTACAAAACTGATTCCAGTGTTGTAAAATTTAATTTTCTTTTTCTCCTTTTTTGATTTTTGTAACATCTACTAATGTTGATAACTTGATAATCCATTTGGTTTCATTTTTATTTCTTTCGAATTTTTCGTTAGTGTACAACATTTTTCCGAGGCTTATCGCATAAATTTATTGCCGATGAACTTTGAAAACTAATTTTCCGATCAGAATTACAAATGGGGGGACAATAATATTATATGATGAGCTCCTCCCAAGAGACATGGGATTCGTGTTCTAAGCCTCAAATACAATGTTGTGTAAAAAGTTTTCATATTTATTATCGATTTGAACCCCATTTGGAATTATTGATTTTTTTTTTTGCTTTCGAACTATTTTTTTAGTTTTTATCTATTCCCCTTTTGGATATTGTTTTTTCATTTCTTTCCAATTTTAATTTACATAATATTTTGTTATTTATTTTGTAATTAATTTGCAACATAAGTTACAATATTTTGTAATTTATTTCGTAATTAATTTTCAAAATAATTTGCAAAATAATTTACAAAATAATTTCAATATTTTATAATTAATTTTGTAATTACTTTACAAAATAATTTCCAATATTTTTCAATTTATTTTGTAATTGAATTATGCAAATTTTATATTCAATTTTGTATTTCAACTTTATATTTATTTATTTTAAAAAATGCACTCTTCAGTTCAAACGTAGGGAGGGTAATATTTTTGAAATTAAAAGTACATTGTATCGAATTCAATGCTCAATTGCAAAATTATTACTTTCCAAGCAGTTATTAATTCCCATTTTTCTGCTTCTCTTCTAAAATAATTAATCCAATCATCTTGTCAGTTAAGAAGCTTCAAGTCAAAAATTCCACAGCAAGTTATTTTAAAAAAAAAATATTTCTTTATTTTTCCATGAAATTTTATTTTAATAAATAGCGAACGATTCCGGTATTTTTGTGTATATCTAGTAAAATATTTTTTCAAATATAATAAAGAAAACAAAAGTGGTTATAAATAAAAATGACTCGAAGCCTCTTTACAGTGAAAGATGACAAAAATTCACCACCGCGTCGCCTCTTAGGCCTAGTGATTATCATTGTTTTTCTTTTGAGATATATATATATATTAAATTATATTCTAATAATATATATTTAGAGTCTACCAACTGCTTGCGAGGAGTTTTAAATTGAATGACCGAATCACTTGGTAAATCGACATTTCGCGTATATAGCAAATTTTCTTCTTTTTTTTTTTGGCGAGAGAATTTAAATCTCTTCTGGAGAAATAAATTTCCCTTTCTGTTGATGTATATATAATCTATCCAAAAAAAAATATATAAAAACTATCATAGACAAATATATATATATGATGGCTTAAAATAATTCTTGTTGGTTGAATCGAATATGCATTTGAATTTGCATTTATTAAAATGTACATTGTTCATCATTATAAATATATATATATTATAAAAGTAGAAATAAGATATATCGTGAAGAAGTTGAAATAAGCATTATAAGAAAGTGAAAGCATTTCTCCATTAGAGAGGTAAATATAAAAAAAAAATATTGATCTCAGATATTGTGGGTAAATTGACTTGATATTATATTAATGATGACAAGAAACGAGCGGCTTTAGTTTAAAACTAATATACATTTATAGCATTAACCACAAAGTGCGGTCCTCAGGGTGGTCGCAATGGACGGCCTTTCTTCAATATTATACATATCTATATAATATACATATATCTCTGACTGTGCTGATTATTATATGATTAGAATTTGTCGTTTATGCCAAAAAAAGGTGTGTGTATAATTATCTCCATTGATGTTAGAGAAAGCTTTTGTACTTGCTATCGATTATATTCCCTTTGCTTCGCCCGACGACATAATTAATTATGTCTTTCAGAAATTAACTATTCAAAATGGGGTCGTTGCGTGTCACACAAAGCATATTTGAACAGAAATAATTTTCTGGAAGATAAACAAAAAATTGTATTAAAAATAAATTTTTTCATTCATTCAAATAATAATGAATAAAAAAATGTTTTCAATTTTTTTCGAGAAATTAAATTAAATTAAAATTTTTTGTTCGAGAAAATGATTTGAAAATTGTCAAATATTTTTTACTTTTACAAAATTTTATGTACAATTATTATTCTTTGCACTTTTCGGTGAGAAAAATATTTGCTAATTTATTCAATAGCAGTTTAACTGTAAAAGTTTTTGTTAATTAAATAGTCACAAATGAAACTACTAACTCCCAATGGAGAAGTTTTATAATTACTAACAAATTTCTCTAATTCCTTTATTTTCAAATCATAGACGAGAGGTTCAATTTCAACTTTGGTATATTCAAAAAAAGATTTGCAAAATTTTTTTCTTCTTTTCAAATTGTTAGAAAAAAAAAAATTTGTTTAATAATTTTCAATATTATTGAATTTTATTTAAAGATTTGCATTTTTTGTTGCAAATTTGTTAAAATAATAATTTTCAATTATTCAGCTTAATTTTTTATGATAAAAGATTTGCATTTTTGTTCTTTTCGTTAAAATTATTAGAAAAAAAATTGTTAAAATAACAAATTTTCAAAATAATTTTATTATATAAAATTCTAAAACAGGAAAAATTAAATTAAAAATTGTCTTAATATTGGAAAATTTTGACAATATTAGTAGATTTTTTTGAGGATCTCAAAATTGAGGCCATAAAGTGCATGAAATTGTTGCGATTTGCCTTTTGATGCTGTTAATGATCTCAATTTGCGATTTTCAGAATTTTTCTGAAGATCAATGTAAATCTGTAAGAATATCGAGGTGCTATTTTAATATTAATTTATATTAATTATTATAATATTAATAATAATATTTCATAATATTAATATTATTATTAATTGTTATATTAATTTTATATTATATTTAATATAATGTTGTATGTAATTAATATAATAATATTTAATGAATAATTTAATATATTGTAACTCAAATAAAAATATTATTAATACTTTTAATAATTATAATAATATAATTATAAACTATTATTAATAATTATATATATTGTATTTATTGTAAACAGGACTTGTATTTATTTAAAAAAAAGTAAAGTTAAAAAAGTAAAGAAAAAAAGTGAAGAAAAAAAAGTATAGATATAGTAATTAGCATCTATACTTTTTTAATTCAAAAACCTATTGTTTGTACAAAAACATATTTTTCAAATTAAAAAAAAGCACATGTCATATTTAACATAACTTTTTTGCTGTTATAAATATTTTGTTCTAAAAATATCTACTTTCCATTGAGCAACGACCCTGTATGATAGCCGCTCGTTCCTATAAAGCTGAAAATAGAGAAAAAAAATCGAGATGTCGAGCATCGCGGAAACCCTAGTTTTACGCTAGTTCTAATGAAAAGTGGTTTGTAGGGAAGTTTTTGAGTATACGCTCATTAGGAGTTCTTTAGACATATCTATAAATATAATAAATGCACAATGAGTGCATCAATCTCTGCCACACAAATAAAAAAAAAAAAAAAAAAAAAAAAAAAAACCGCCAAAGCGCCAAGTGATTCGGCCGTCATTGTAAATCCGTTGTGTTTATCATATAGTATATAAACAAAAAAAATATATAATACAGAAAAAAGCATACATATCGCGATAAAATAATTGCAGAACAAAAATAAAAAAAAAGAGCGAGAGAATTTAATAAATATATAGATCGATCAACGTGGATGATCAAAGTATGATTCTATATATAAAAAATATACATATCTATGAGAAGACTTATTAAAAAAAAACAGAACGACGACGTACAATGTTTTAGAGGGTGCAATATATACGTATATATATATTTAAGTTTTTTTTTTTTTTTTTTTTTGAAAAAAAACCGGCGTTATATTTCACATTCGTATATATAAATATATAAACGATTCGCTATATCATTGTTATTTATTACCATCATTATCAACGTTACCGTTGGTACTGTACAGTTATTATATACATTTATACATATATAAAACATGTATACATAAAACACATGTATATTGTATTTATCATCGCTGCTCTATAGTAGTGGTTTGCGCAACTTTTTTTTTTATCTTTACTTTTATTTTCACGCGGTAACGATTAACGATGATTATAGAAGTGTCGTTATTCTGCTTTACCTTATTTGATCGCAAAAGAAAATATAAATATATAACGAGTTTTAGTTAGATTGTTATAAAAAAAAGGAGAAAAAAAAATGGGACACTAGGTGGAATTCGTTCAAATAATATATAAATATATACATATCGTTAGAGAAATAAAGGAAATCCATGTAAATTTTAATCTCAATGTTACATTTATAATCAAAGAAAATATTATTTCATCCTTTTGAAAGATTTCATAAAGAAAATGTTGATTTCGGGAAGAATTCTTTTTGGATTCAATTTTATTATTGAAGATAATTTAATTCGAGAATGGAATAATTGATTCCATTAAACTTTTGTTGAAGAGATTCATTTTTTTCGAGATAAAAATATTATTATTTTTTTTATAATAAAAAATTGGAATGGAAATATTTAATGGTTTTTATTTATTTATAAGAGAAATTTTTGTCTGGGAAAATTTTTCCAGATTTCATAATCAACTTTGTGATAGAAAATTTTCAAACTAAAAATATAGTTTTTTGAATAAAAAATTTTTTTTTTCAATTTTTGATAATTAATAAACGTGAACTTCACTCATGTATTAAATAATTTTAGTTGACAAGTGCCAATTATTTTTAATTGAAATTAATTCATTTTAATCAATTTTAAACGAAATTAACTAATTTTAATCAATATTAGGTGAAATTAAATTATTTTTATTAAATTAATTTTTTTTGATAAAAAAAATAATTAAAAATTGGAAAATTATTGAACTAGATCGTAATAGCGGAAGTGATTGTTGAATATAATTTGGAAGATTGGGTTGTTTTGAGGAAAAAGAATTATTTGAGATGAACTTTGAAATAAACGTGTAAAATGGAATCGTAAAATCGCGAGAAAAATTTTCCGGTATCCCGCTGATGTATCTTCATTTATATTATGTCGGATACTTTCACTTTGGGAATAACGTTAGAAAAATGCATAAGACGTGTCTTCTCCATAACCCCCGAGGCTATTAGAAACGACAGATAAGAAAGCGATACGATTATAATTATATTCACATATAGTTTAAAGATGGCAATCTCAAAACAAAAGTTTCATGGAATCAATGATAATCTTATTTTCATTGGCATTAAAAATTTTTTTAAATTTTTTTCCAAAAAAAATTATTGTAATAATACTTTAATTGTATTATTATTAAATAGTAGAATATTTTGTTATTACTGAAAAAAAATTTGATCCAAAAATAATAATATTTATTAATATTTAAATTTTTAAATAACTA